ATTCCATTATTAGCTGAGGACAGGATAGGCTTCTCTGAAGAGATGGGTTTTCAGAGATCGCCTAAAAGTGAGCAGAGTAGGCGATAGTCTGATAAATTGGGGTAGAGAGTTCCAGAGGATGGAGGAAGCTCTGGAAAAGTCCTGCAGACTAGCATGGGAGGAGGAGAGAAGGGAGCTTAGAGAGCAGGAGGTCTTGCGAGGAGCGGAGAGTACGGTTTGGGTGATATTTAGAGACAAGATCGGTGATGTAATTTGGGGCAGAGTTATAAATGGCTTTATATGTTGTTAGTGTTTTATCCGTTGGGCAATGGGAAGCCAGTGGAGGGATTGGCAGAGAGGGGTGGCAGATACAGAACGGTTAGTAAGGTGGATGAGTCTGGCAGCAGCAGACTGAAGAGGGGATAGCCTGCGATTAGGTAGGCCAATGAGGAGGGAGTTACAATAGTCAAGGCGAGATATAACAAGGGAGTGAATAAGTTGCTTAGTGGTTTCCGGGGTTAGGAACGGTCGTATCTTGGAGATGTTGCGGAGGTGAAGTCTACAAGATTTGGACAGTGATTGGATTCGGGGCTGAAAGGACAGATGGGAGTCTAGGATTACACCTAGTACCCTGGCATGAGGGGAGGGACTGATGATTGTGTTATTGATTTTGTCAGGGGAGGGGGCACGGGCTGGGGGGGGGAATACTAAGAGCTCGGTTTTGGAAAGATTGAGTTTGAGGAAGTGGAGTGACATCCATGCTGATATGTCACTTAGTAGGTTAGTAATGCGAGAGGAGACTGAAGGGGTGAGGAGTAGAAAGATAGATTTGTGTGTCATCAGCATAGGGATGGTACTTAAAGCCATGGGAGTTTATCAAGTGACCAAGGGAGGAGGTGTAGATGGAGAAGAGAAGGGGTCCAAGGACAGAACCTTGAGGGACCCCTACAGAAAGAGGGAGTGAAGAGGAGGAGACACAGTTATAGGTAACACTGAAGGAGCGCTGCGATAGGTAGGAGGAGAACCAGAAGAGAGCAGAGTCTCTGAGGACAAGAGTGGAGTTTTTTGAGGAGGAGGGGATGGTCAACCGTATCAAAAGCATGCCTTATTTGTCTGAGAGAATATGATTCAGTGTGTGGGGGACATGAAAAATAGGAGTCTAAGAGTGGGCGTTAGAGAAGGGGGGTATGATAAGGGTTGAAGCAAGTGGAGGCAGAAATGAGAAGGGAGGGACAGAGGGAAGGAAAAACAATACACAAACTTTAAAGTGACATCAAGCGACATTCTTATTCTCCAATAATCATTCATACACATTCACTACTGTCTGGTACTGTATTTTACTGCCTCTTTGGAACATCCTCTGTGATCTGTGAGGGCCCCGAGTCAGTAGGGGGCCCCATCAGATGCCCCTGGTACCTTTTTCATAGGCTTTTTTGAGTTTGGGCAAGAACACAGGGGCCCCATGATCCCCTATTGCCTGGGGGCCCCATGAGTTGTCAGTCCGCCCCTGGAGGAGGCTGAGATCAATAGCAGGTACTTTTCTGAATTAGGGATACATAGTTTGATATAATTTTTTTTTAAACCAGAGTTTAGTGTCACTTGAAGCAAGAATGTTCACAGAGAACTGTAGATATATTTTGCGGTGAACAGTTTTTGCTGTACTATTTACATAAAAGTAGCACTGGGAAAATTACTGGGAAGTTATTTTCTAGTTTTTCCCTTTCTTTCTAATACAAAATGTAGAAAATACATATACTGTACATATATATAAATCCTCTGTACAAGTAAAGCATTCTCTGTCCTGAAATAAAGATGTAAAGGTTGGGACAGACTATAAATGCAAAATGTTAATTAGGGCGTAACCAACCATTCAAACAGTAATAAACCCAAAATCAAACATTTATTACATCGCAGGTTAGCAACTCTTAGATGGGATAACTGCATTAGTTTTCTTTTTTTAGGCTTTCTTTTTCCTATTTTCATCTGGTGATCCAGCCAGTTGGTTCTTTGTTTTTCAACAGAAAATCTTTCTTCACATACAGGGACCAGACCTGTGCAGTGTAGACACAGCTGCTTATGTATAGTCCCTTATGTAAGGCTGTGTAAGAGATAGTGCAGGAGCACAAATGGGAGACAGGGACAGAGTGTTGTCACCTTATAACAGGAAGTACTTGAACAAGGACCTTCATGGCAGGATCATCAGCTAATATTTTAGTAAAAGCTGCAGATTCAAATTAATTGAATGACTTTTTAATTTACATTAACATGGTAAAGCTGATATGATATTTTAGTGATTAGATTTACATATATAATTCAAGGAGTTTAAAGTGATTGTCTGAGGTATTTAAAAAAATTATAATTGCCAATTCAACTCCTTAGGCATGTCAATAACGTATTCCTCCACTGTCTGCAAGGGTTCCTGCTGTGGACCCCTAGTTACTGCAGGACACAATGGGGGAGATTTACTAAAACTGGAGCACTCAGAATCTGGTGCAGCTGCACATGGTAGCCAATCAGCTTCTAACGTCAGCTTGTTCAGTTAACCACTTCAATACCGGGCACTTTTACCCCCTTCCTGCCCAGGCCAATTTTCAGCTTTTAGTGCTCTCTCAGTTTGAATGACAATTACGCGGAACTGCAACACTGTACCCAAACCAAATTTTTATCATTTTGTTCACACAACTAGAGCTTTCTTTTGGTGGTATTTAATCACCACTGGGGTTTTTATTTTTTTGTTAAATAAATGAAAGAAGACTGGCAATTTTGAAAAGTTTTTCTTCATTTCTGTTAAAAAAAATAAATAATTGTTCTTCATACATTTAGGCCAAAATGTATACTGCTACATATCTTTGGTGAAAATAATGCAAATTAGTGTACAGTATTTAGTCTGTAGGAAAATTATAGAGTCCACAAACTATGGGATATATATCTGAAAATTGATTAATCCTGATGTACTGACGGCCTATCTCATTTCTTGAGGCCCAAAAATGTCAGGACAGTACAGGTATCCACCAAATGACCCCTTTTTGGAAAGTAGACAGTCCTAGGTATTTAGTAATGGGCATTGCAAGTTTTTTGAAGTTGTAATTTTTTTTGTAATTTGTATGGGAAAATTAAGAAATGAAAACAAAAAAAACAGCATATAACTGGTGTGGCGGTGATCAGGGACACTGGTGATAGTATGAAAAAAAAATTACTATATTTAAAAACTGTTTTTTTTAATTTTTTTTTTTTTTTTTTTTAAGATTTTTTTTTTATAAAACACTGTGACCAGAGTAATATAGTGTTACCATAGTAACATTGTACTACTTTGGGGAAGTGATGAGTATTATTTTTTTTTTTACACATTATAATTGCCTATAGCAGTGAATTTGGCCACAGCTAATCACATGCCACAGGTGGGCTGTAATTGGTCCAGTCTGTACCATATGATCACTGTGACCAGTCACAGCTAGCAACACAGTTGTGTACAATGGATGGCATGGAAGGAAGCCATCCATTGTTTACAATTGTCATGTGAATTGCTGTGATTGGTCACAGCGGTCACATGGTACCAGCAACTGGATCGGTACACAGAATGGTCATCGGCTGTGTTCCATGCACACAGCCGGTGACAGTTCTTGCTGCAACACAGCCCCGTGGGCACGTGCAAAGCGTTGATCCGGGAGGACATCATATGACGCCCACCCACTCCAATGAAAGTCCCACTGTGTCATTTTGCTATTGGCCAGGAGCAGGAACTGGTTAAGCATTGACAATAAAACCTGAAAGCTGATCAGTTTATATGCAGAGCTGCACCAGATGTTGTACTCTTCAGTTTTAGTAAATAACCCCTAATATGACATAGTAGTCATCAGGAGGCACAACAGTGGCCAACATGGGACATGCTCTTCCACACATTCAGAAGTAGGAGACGGGATCAGTTCCTGGGTGCTTTGCTACAAAGCAAAGTTTTAGCAAACAGGGTACCGGACAGGTAGGTATAAGCTGTTTTCATTTCAGGTTATTACCATTGTAACTTCTTTAACCCTGATAGGGTTGCTATAGAGCAGCCTTTCTCAACCAGGATGCCCAGGCACCCAGGCTGCCTTGAGGTTTCTTCAGGGGTGCCTTGGCAAAATGTGTAAAGATTGCCCAAAACTTGTATACAATCCAGTGGCTGGAACAAAACAGGTTTTCATTGTGCACCATTACGTCCTTCTAGCCGCCGGTGTCCTGACAACCAATGACATCATCAGTTGTTAAGGAGGATGTCAGCTGCCTGCACAGCATCCTAGTTTCACCCTCCTCTGCCCCTCTCCATCAGTACTGGGGTCACATTAGCTCAGTGATGGAGAAAAATGGAGGGAGAAGAGAAACATTGGAATACTAGTCAGTACCGGTGTGCAAACGTGTATTTACTTTGGAAGAATACATCACCTCTAATGTTGGGTGTCCTACGTGTGTGAATGTTGCTGTGTTATATAAAACTATTAGAATAGATTTTCACATTTTATAATGGGGTTTCTCAAGGCTGTCCATAATTTTAAAGGGCGCCTTGGGACTGTCCATAATTTTAAAGAGTGCCTTGACTGAAAAAAGGTTGAGAAACACTGCTCTAGAGTATTGGGATTGAAGTGGTTACAAAGGATGTTCCAGCAGTGCTGAAGAACATTTTACCAGAGCATTAGTGCTTTTGAAGGGATGTTCCTTCTTTTACGGACCCCAAAATATCAAAATACACCTTTATAGTGGTATTAAAGTAGTTCTAAAAGTTCATTGTTTTTCTTTAACCACTTGCCTCTAGGGCACTTATACCCCCTTCCTGCCCAGGCCAATTTCCAGCTTTCAGCGCTATCACACTTTGAATGACAATTGCGCAGTCATGCAACACTGTACCCATATGAAATTTTTAGCATTTTTTTGAGACAGATAGAGCTTTCTTTTGGTGGTATTTAATCACCTCTGGGATTTTTATTTTTTCTTAAACAAACCAAAAACCACAGAAAATTTAGAAAAAAAGCATTTTTCCTTAGTTTTTGTTATACAATTTTGTAAATAAGTGATTTTTCTCCTTCACTGATGTGCGCTAATGAGGCTGCAGTGATGGGCACTGATAGGCTGCACTTATGGACACTGATAGGTGGCACTGATGGGCACTGAGGAGGAGGCACTGGTAGGTTGCACTGATGGGCATTGACAGGCATCACTGATGGGCACTGAAAGGCAGCACTGATACATGACACTGATACATGACACTGATAGGCAGCACTGACTGGCACTGATAGGCGGCACTGATTGGCACTGTTAGGCAGCACTGACTGGCACTGTTAGGCGGCACTGACTGGCACTGATAGGCGGCACTGACTGGCATTGATAGGTGGCACTGACTGGCACTGAGGGGTGACATTGAAAGGCAGCTCAGATCGGCACTGATATGTGGCATTGATGTGCACTGGTATGCACTGATATGTGGCACTGATGGGCACTGGCACATGGCACTGATGAGCACTGACTGCTGACATTGATGGACACTGACAGGTGGCACTGCTGGGGCTACACTGATCATCAGGGCACACTGATTATCAGTGCCCTGATGACCAGTGTACATGTCCCCTCCAAGGAAAGCCGATTACCGGCTCTCCTCTCCTCTGTCAGCGTGACAGCTCGAGAGGAGAGAAATGCCGATAACTGGCATTTCCGTGTTTACATGTGATCAGCTGTGATTGGACACAGCTGATCACATGACCGAGCCGACATCTTCAGCTCTTTCCGTGATCCGTTATCTGCTGTGTCTGAGGGACACAGCGCACCGCCGATCGCCTCGCTGCACGCTCCCTCAGCCGCACATGCGCAGTGAGAATGGAAGGACATCATATGAGAACGAGAGAAGCACCTTGCGCCCGTCATTGTACTATATGGCGGGCGGAAGGTGGTTAAAATAACAAACATGTCATACTTACCTGCTGTGTGAAAGCTGCTTGCGCTGGGGGTACTTGTAAGTGCTTGCTCCCGAGTCATCTCATAGACACACAGAGCATGGCTCAGTCTTGCCCCCCCCCCACCTCTCCCTCCTCACTGGCCGCGATTGACAACAGTGGGAGTCAATGAATCCTGCTGCAGTGTCTGAGCCAATGAGGAGGGAGAGACCCTAAGAGCAAGTTCCCGTGCACAGCGCTGGATGAAGATCGGGCTCAGGTAAGTATTAGAGGAGCTGTGGGGGAGGGGGGGGGGGGGGTGGTGGTGCACACTGAAAGTTTTTTATCTTCATGTACAGAATGCATGAAGGTAAAAAAAACCTCCAGCCTCTACAACCACTTTAAACCCAAAACCAAAAATGTTATTAGATATGGTGGCTCTATTCTACTTTTTTTTTTTGCCTTTCTTCTGACTGTTTTTTCCTGGTGATCTGGCTAGTAACACACCTCCTGTATTAAAGTGCCTCCACTCAGGATGAAGGAGCACAGGGGGCACTATTGGACTGCAGCATTGTCACTCTTGGGGTAGGGGAGTGTTAGATGTACTAGCAGATTTAGATGTACTAACAAAGGGAAGCAGAGCTCCAGGTTACACGTTATAAGCAATGACTACAGGTTTTTTTCCTTTTAGGATAAAGATATTACATAAATAAATAAAACTGATTATTGTAAGCACACCTGTCAGTGGTAAATGGTATGTCTCTTCCCTCTAAGGCTAAGTTCACACTAGCTTCTCACACGCCTATGAAAACTCTACACATGGCAGCACACAGTGCTGTTCACACTGAAGCGTTAACATCGCGTCGTGGCAAAATTGATTCTTCATGTCATGTCCAGTCCAGAGGAGTTGAAGCCTCCCATTCAAGTCTATGGTGACACTCCTCAAACGCCTGGAAGGCGTTTGCGGAGCGTTAATAACATTAAACTTCATTATAGGCATTTGTGGTGCGGTTTTAACGCTTGGAAAACGCCTATCAAACTCCTCAAAAATGCGCATAGGGCATTTGAGGAGCATTAAAAACGCTATCCAAACGCCTGTCTAACACTATAGGGGCGTTTGGCAAGAGTTTGAAATTAGTCGTGTGTGAATGAGCCCTGAGGGCTCGTTCACACTTGACTGTTTTTCCAACTCTTGCCAAACGCCCCTATAGCGCTTGACAAGCGTTGGTCCAGCGTTTGCGGAGCGTTTTTAATGCTCTGCAAATGCCGCATTCGTAGTTTAGCGGAGGTTGCTAGGCATTTGCCAAGCGTTAAAAACGCCCCACAAACACCTATAATGAAGTTTGAATGGTGTTACCGCTCCGCAAACGCCTTGCAACCGCACCGCAAACGCCGGCCGGGCGTTTGCGGATTGACCCCATAGACTTGAATAGGAGGCTTCAACTCCTCCTGACTCAACCAGAGGCGTCCATTTTGCCACGACACAATGCGACGCTAACGCTCCCGTTTGAACAGCACTATGTGCTGCAATGTGCAGAATTTTCCCAGGCGTTTGGGAAACGGTAAAAACGCTTCCCAAACGCCTGTCTGCCGCTTGCTAACAAGGCTAGTGTGAACGTAGCCTAACTGTTACATCTGCTAGAAAGCATGTTCTTTTGACATCAGACATACTGGCCAGATCACCAGGTGAAAAAAAAGAAGAAAAAAAAATAAAAAAGAAAACTAATGCAACCACCATAACGAAGTATTGGTAAGCTACAATATAATCAATATATGCTTTTAGACCTAATACTGCTTTAACATTGAGCACATGGACTGCTATCAGCATGGGGCAGGTACTGCATGCTTACAAGCTTTCAGGCATGAGGGTGCATCTCTTTTATTTTTAAAGTTGAAAGAAAAAAAAAACGAACATCAAATATTATCAACACTGCATTGTTAATTAAAAAGCAGTACTGACAACATCCCAAGTATATATCCTATATAGAAAAAGGTGTAAGGGATCCTATCCCTCTTGTATTGAACTGTATTGTTGCTGTATTGTCTCCCGTTATATTGTAAAGAGCTGAGCAAACTGTTGGCGCTATATAAATCTTGTATTATAGTAATAATAATGTACACGGGGCATTTGGAAAACTCTTCTGAACAATGGAAACTGACTGCTGGAAAACGTAGGTTAAAAAACGTCAGTTTAGCCATATTTGCATACCGCGTATATGCGCATTTATGCGCGTTTGCATTTAGAAGCGTTTTTAAAAGATAACCTCAGGAAACCCTCCCAAATGCCCAGAATGTACTGAAAAACAGTAAAAAATTTACAATTTCAGACATTTTGAGAGAAATAGAGAGAGCAGAAGCAGAGAGAGAGATCAGTATGTGTTGAGATGACCTGTCTTTTCTGGTTATATTCACTATGGATCCCATCATGAGCAGAATGCAGCACATTCTACTACCATTTTTTCCTTCACAAGAAACCTGGAACTGACTGCGCTGGTGTACTAGTCCATTTGAATACATGGAAAACGCTTTGCATGCATTTCTGATGATGAAGAAAGGCTCTGGACAGCATCTGGATATGGAACAGTTAAAAAACGCTTCTAAACGCAAACGCTTATAACCACGTTTACACGCATTTACAAGCCTTTGGCGTTTGAAACGCTGATAAAATCTGCTCCTGACCGCATGTTTGGTGCATTCAAAAAAACGACTGCCAACTCAACTGCCTGTAAACAATGATGTGTAAATGGACACATAGGAAAACATTAGGGAGAGTTCAGGGGCTGCTGAAAAAAACGCAGAACAGCACCTGAACGTCAGTTTAGGAGCTGGAGTGTACATGAGCCCTAAAGAATATACCAAATCTTTTATAAAAATGGGTGTCATAGCGAAAACGTCACAATGCTGAATAGCAGAGAAACGTCAGATGAAAACCTTTTGGTTTTAATTGGTAACCAAAAAATAGAGATATATAAAAGGCTAATAGTCTAGTTATTTAGGTTTCAAATCTTTATAAATTGACTCCTAAATACCTAATAAAATGTATCAAATAAAACCATGCAATCTTAGATTTCTTGTTGCCTTTATATAAATCCTGTATTATAATAATAATAATAATAATAAATAATAAAAAAACAACAACAATCTTTATTTTTTTAAATAGGGAATTTCTTAGAAGCTGGTGGGTTCTTTTTTTTTTTTTTGTTTAATTGTATTCCAGCAAGTTAAAAGTTAATGAGCGGGCCTTTTTTTTCAGAAGCACAACAGATTGACTGGTTTTAAATGTACCATGCCATTCAGGCTCCTGCACTCCTGTCTGTATTCTGTAAACCTTGATTTTTTTTTTTTTTTTTAAATGGAATTTAAACTCCAAAACCAGAAGCAGAATCTATGGCCTGGGGTTTCGTAAAGCGGCGCTGGAAGTTGCCAAGGCAAGCGATTTGCTGCAGACTGTCTCTGCGTAGAAGCTGACTGAGGCTGGGGAAGGCAGTGTCTTGTGTAGAATGTCCTGATTCCTCCCCTTGGCTTGCCAGCACCTCCTCCACCCTCCTATCCCTTTCTGATTTCACCTCCCCATTCAGACATCTCTGTGTATTCCTGCCTCCAGGTTTTCAGTCTGCCTCACTGTAGCATGGTGAAAGCAGAGAGGGAGGCAGAGAAAAGCTATCCAAAAAGCAACTGGATGATCAGAGCGAAGAGAGGACCTAGGGAAGCAGTGCACAACTGCGATACTTCCCAAGTCACAGCTGCACACTGTCACACATGGAGGGGAAAACATGGCTAGGATAAAAAAGGGCTCCCCACAATGAGGACCTGTACAGGATTAAATAGGGATCTCTGTATTTAAAAGGAAAAAAGAACTGGACCTATCCTGGAGTGGCACAGTGGTTGGCGGATCGCTACAACCTTTAATTTCCAAGGATTCTTGACCCCTATCTGTCTTATTTGATGTTGTTTCCTTAGGATTTGGCTAGCCAAGGCATCATCACAGGATAACGTGAAGGGCGATCTGCAATGCCCTTTGCCAAGCGGATTGTTGAGCCCCAGTGGCTGTGTAGGCATGCTGTCGCCCAGGTCGAAGGGAGCTGTTCCAGGGATCAGGGGGATGAGCAGCGGCAGCACCACCGGGTAAATTCGAGGGAAGAATTGTCGGTTAATGTGGCACCTTCAGCGCAGGTGCCCTCGGAGGAGAGAGAATCCTTGCCCGTTGACAAGAAGGATAAAGATGTGGCAACTTTGGATTTGTGCGCGATCAGCAACGTTGCGATGTCGCGGATCTTACGGCAGCTTTCGGATATGGCCAGGCATGCCTGCTCCATATTCCACGAGATCGAAGCAGAGATTCAGGTTACTGCCAGGCGCGTGCGGGCACTGCAAGGGAAAATCGGTACTGTCCAGCAGCTTGTCACCAGCTTGGATCCGAAGCAGGAGACCGTGCGTGAGTACCATGTCTTAGATGTCATTTTCTACCGTTGTCTTTAGCACTGTGCTGGGGGGGGCAGGCAAAATGGTTCAGGCCCTTCAAGCCCAAAAGTTAAAAAAAAAAAGTCTTAATTGTTCTAAAAGCACTCATTTCCTAGCCTTCCTCTGACCTCCTCATTTGAGGAACCACATTGCTTATCTTATGCTAA